CCGCGGCGACGGCTACGGCATCACCCTCCACCTCGACAGCGCCCGGCACGAGGAGATTGACGAGTTCAGCACGAGCGGCTTCATCGGGGCCATCGTGAACCCGAGCGACGCAAACGACGTCACGCTCGTGGTCCCCAGCTCAAAGTGTATCATCGACAGCGTCACGAGCGACAGCATCCTCCAGATCGGCCGCAGCTTCGGCTGGAAGGTCGAGCAGCGCGCCATCAAGTACGGCGAGCTGCCGGCCTTCTCCGAGGTCATGGCCGCGGGGACGGCCGCGGCCCTCGTGCCCATCCGCTCCATCACCCGTCGAAACGCCCCGGCTGGCGGGCTGCCCTCCGACTCGCCCCGCGTGAGCGTCGGCAAGGGGGAGGAGGTCGTGACGTTCCTGCCCCAGGAGCAGGAGGATGCGGGGCCCATCTGCCTGAAGCTGATTACGCAGCTCAAGGCCATCCAGCTGGGCAAGGTGGAGGACGCATTTGGCTGGAGGGTCGAGGTCGGCACCAACGATCTGGAGCTGGCGGGGACTGAGCGTGAGCGGAATGGGAAGACGCCGACTGTGGATCAGATGGAGTAGAGAGGCTCGACAATCGAAGGATTTGAATGGAAAAGCAAAATTAAAATGTTTGGAGATATTTTCAAAACCATGTATAAAAAAAGAAATAACTGCACAAATTTATCTATCATGAAACAACATTGGCGGATTGAGAGTGGAGATCTCGCGCTCCAGACTGTTTGGTTCCGGCCCAGACGAAGCCCGTCTTACTCGAGGTCTGGCAGCCCAATGTGCCAAGTCATGCATCGCAAATGCAAGTCCCGTACACGACCAAGGTAATCAAAGTCCCCCAGCGCGTCCTCCTGTCCGGAAGCGCACCTGTGATCGTGGCTTGTTTGTTGCAAAGCTGACGTCCCCCTTCCCCCCTTACTTTGCCCCCTTTCCCCATTTCCCTCGCCTGCATGTTTCAAGTCTCGTAAGACTTCCCTGACTTATCTTACTTGTTGAAAAGAGAGAGCGTGGCAGATTAAGAGGTGCAGCCTTGTCAGGAGGAGGGTGAGGGGGCTGAGGGGGGCGGGAAACGAATACAATTTGTCAATGATTGGGGAGATGCTGGTTGACAGACAATATATATATATTACACAACGTGGCACCGCCAGTGGTATCCGGGAATAAAGTCTCCCATTACTTACTTGTCAATCAATATAAACGCACGGCCTCGAGAAGCGCTTGCCCTTCACTATTGACCCTACGCAGCTTGGTGGGAGCTCGAGACAAGGGAGAAAAGAAGAAAAAGAAAAGAAACCGAGAACCGCAACAACAACGAGAAGAAACTCCATCCACAACAATCGGAGGGCAAGAAGGCCCAGGAATACTTCTTTCATACGGTCGAAAATGTGCGTCATGGACTACAAGTACCGGGTCTGTCCGTGTCTTCACCCCAGGTGCCCCCAGACCAACGCCAACGACCAAATCGTCTACATAGACGGGCGTGCCCACCACCTCGATTACCCCTTTCCCTACAAGTATGTCGAGGAGGGAAGCAAGGTGTGCGATCTGGAGAGATACCGAACATTCAACCCGTGTACGCCAGCGAGCTCCATATGTCGCAACTTTGTCCCAGGGTTCCTGCACCCCGAGGTGATTGTGGCAGACTCGCCATGCTTGAAGTGTGTGTCGTGTTTCAACATGCCCTAGAGGGGGATGAATGGCAATGATGGGATTCGACGGCGATTGGAGGGTGGTAAGCGCCTTGGTTTGATGGGGTAACTTTGATCAGCTGGCCATGTGCTTCTCACAAGACCGGCGTGGCCCAATCCACAGTGAAAAGGAGATGTTTGAGCACGACGTGAGCGGCTGCTTGTCGAATCAGGGGGATTTGATAAAATGATACTTGTCCACTTGGCAGCATGACAAAGCGAGACTTTGGTACGTTAGCTTGTTACAATATTTGCATTCTACTCTCATCGTAATCCCGGAAATGCTTTTGCTGACTGAATGTTCTTGGTAATAGGAAATGATTGGGGCTCAGTGATGCCAGGAAGCCGGTTTTCCTCTTTGGGACTTATATATGATACTCACTACATTCACGAATGCCTGGCACTTCGTGTTCAGCTTGTGGCCGAGACGGGTCACACCAAAGGCTAAGTCGATGATTAGATGTCCTGCTTGATCTGTAACACAGCAAGATCAATCAATAGTTAGGTACTGAGCCTATATATTACCCCTCGGGCAGGAATGCAAGCAGAGCAAGAAGAAGCAGAAGAACGACAACGACGATTTTGCAAGATGACCAACGGTAGCACTACCGACTCATCAACCATGACCACTCCAAGGCAAACCTTTATGAAGTCAAGCAGCACCTCACTTCCCATCGGAAAAGTGACAGCGAGGCACAAGTCCGTAAAAGGGGGAACGGAACTAAGAGGACGGTCTTATCGGACTGCTGATGTGCGAGTTCGCCTGGCGCCAAGTCGTCTGCCCCTGCCCGCAGGGTCGTGTCTACTGCTCCCAGATATGCTACGGCGTCATTGAATGGGGCGGCCGCGACTACCATGTCATCCCGCACGCGGAGCCCTTTTTTGCGGAACAGGGACATGCGTGTACCGTCGAGCTGCGGCGTCTTCGGCGGCGGGGTGTCCCTATTCGTGATCCGGCCGCGATGGGGTTGGGGCGGATGGACTGCCCTTTCACCGAGGCTTACTTGGACCTTCGAGATCCGGTGCCAATCGTCGCTACTCACAGGTGCAACGAATGTAGGCAGCTCTGTTTGAGAGGGAATTTCCGCCCTTGGGGGTTCTAGACAGCTTTGTTGTAGAGTCCAGTCGTGTTGGGTATGTAGCCAGTTACTTGGAGGCTGTGGGTGTTTTTGTGTTAGGCATGTGTGGTTTCATCACTTGATTATCTTATACCTCATGTTTAATCTGGTAGTTTGTGAAATTTCTTTATAATTGGCTGCGATTAGTTGTATAGATGCTCAAGTTGTGTTTGTTGTGGCAGCCATTGAGAACTCTTACCGTGTAGAGCATGCAGAATGAGTTGGATCTCAACAACGGTCCAAAAGCCGAGAAAGCCGAGATGGCTGAAAGGGGGATGCATTAATTTATTCATTAACTAGTTAATATAATGGAAAGGCCTTTCTGCCCCATACTGGCCGCTCATGTTGCGAGTGTCAACTCGATGAGGATGTTGGTGCCCACCAAGACTTGGTTAGGCCAATCTCACAGACTTGTCCTGACAACTTAACCCAATGTTTTCTAGATAATGGGAAAAACATATCGAAGTATTAACAGCAACTGAGGAAATATGTTCTCAATGTTGGATCTGAAGAGAGCAATTTAATTTAGGCAGTTTCTCGACTCTCGAATCCGTCGATTCCTCAAAATGGACTAGTTAAATTTTCAGCTCAGCTGCATCGCGCCTCGTTCATTCACGTCGCTCATCCTGACTCGCTTCATCAGTCCCTTTCTCATAGATTTCCCACAATGCTGAGAGTCTCCTTGTTGCCCGCTTAGCAGATAGTCTGAGAGCTGCCTCCTGCAGCGCCCGTTAACATGTCTGACGATGGCAATCACTCGGCGACAGACATCATCACCTACATTGGTGTGCCCCTGGCCGTGTTAGGAGGTAATTCCAACCCATTCATTGGGCATCTCACGCACGTAGACTAATCATCTGAAAGTCCTGCCGATCCTGTACAACACATTCGCAACCCTCGTCTCGCTGTCGCGCATCAAGCGCATGCTGCGGCGCAGCCGCCTGCCCGCCCTGACGAGGAGCGACATCGTGAACCGCATCATCGAGATCGAGCTCCCGCGCTACGCCGTGATGCCCCTCGACCGCTTCCAGGACCGCGCAAAGTACTGGACCCTATCAAACCACCCCAGCCCCATACCCGGCGGCACCTGGACCACCTTCAACTGGCGGACGCACTCCATCGGGATCAAGAACCAGCGCGTCGAGTACGCCGACCAGGTGCGCCAGCCGCAGGTCGACATCTCCTTTGACGAGCTGGTGTGCTACCTGCTCGACCTCGGCGCCGTGGCGAACCCGCATGGGTGGAAGCTGCTGCGTTCGACGGGGCTCTGGACGCCTGTGGGTTGCTGCTTGATGACGTCTCCCGATGGGAAGGAGGACGCGCTCACCATAGCCCCGTCGGATGATGCGGATGGGAACCTCTCCCTGGCTGTTGCGTGGTCCAGCTCTTGGATCACGAGAGATTATGCCACCCTGCCGCCGTACTGGGTGCGTCTGCCGCCACCCCCGGTGAAGGAGCCGGCGGTGGAAGAAGTGCAAGCAGAAGGTTCACAACCGGAGAGCTCTGCAGCACCTGAGTACGAATCTCGACCCGGCTCGGAAAAGGGCCTGACGAAGGATGAGGCTTCAAGGGGGAACTCGATCGAGTTGGACTCTATCCAGAATGGGAATCGCGCCAGTGCCAACAAGGCCATCACTTGCCAGATTTCCCTGTCCGGTATTGTCAGCGCGCTTACACAGCAAGAGTTCTACAGCAACCAGAGCACGCCGAATCTCGACAGCCTCTACATTGACCATCTCCGCATCACGCCCGGCAAGTCGAACGGGGTATGGTTCGCCAGCGCGGCGACCGCCCTGGGAACGTCCAGCCAGACTATTCTGTGGAATTACAAGATCCCGGACGAGATTCTGTACTTTGCGAGGAAGGAGACGGTGCCCTGCGGCGTGCTTGAGGTCATCGGCATGGTTGACGAGTCAGATACGCCCGAGTGGGCAACGAAACACCATGACTACGGAGCGTCACTTGACCAGTTCACGAGGCAGCGCCAGCAGCAGCAGGCTGCGATGGCTGCTGAGGCTCGTATGGCCCCGGCCCAGCGGGAGGCTGCGGCGAGAGACAGGATGCGTCAGGAAAACGAGCAGCGCATGCAGGATAGTAAGACGAAACCCCTGTTTTTTTCTTGATATTTTAAGGTAGATTCTTCCCTGCTGACCTGATTAGTGCGAGATAAGCTGAGAACGCAACAACAACGACGAGACCAGCGCATGCTCGAGGCCCTACAGAGCCCCAAATGGGACGGGAAACTTGTCGCCGAGCACTGCTTTCGCTGGCTCAAGCATAGGAACTGCTGGGATGAAAAGTCGACGGCGAAGGACGTGGCAGGGTTCTTGTTGCACAAGATGGTCCTCGATGGGGAGTTCTCCTCCGAACTATGCCGCATGTTGGATAGGTGGAAGGCTTGGGGTGAAGTTGGAGGCATGAAGAAGGACGATTACCTGTTTCTCCAGGAGAATCAAACAATGTTTTCCAACGCCGCCCTTCTGGTTGCTTTGATTCGGGATACGTCGGTGGCGGCGGAAGGGACTGTCTCGATGGATCTACAGGAGTGTCTACGGATGTGGAAGAAGGTTAGGCTTGGCTAAATTCAACACACCTTTTGTCATAATATATTTAAAACAGTCCAAATTTGTTCAAACCCTTCTTGTATCGTGGTTTGAAAGCGAATGAAGATATCAGTAAGACAAGCTGAGCTGCCTACTAGTTGGCTACAAATAGGTGAAGAATGCAATACACATTTCAGCCTCGTGCGACAGCTGGACAGCCACCTTTGTAATTATTTTATTGGAAAGAAACACTCTAGTCTAAAACCCAATCAAAAATAGCCTTTATCTTCCCTTTTTCTTATACAAATCATTCACGTTTCATCCCAGAATTGAACTGCTGGTGACATTGATGGCCTGTGTTCAATTCGAATTCCCCAATAAAACCACCACTAGCTTGCATATGTCAACGGCAAAAGCAAAAATAATCCCATCATCTCCCTGTCTATTCCATCTCGATGGTGCCTGTGGTCATCTCATTAGAACTATATCCATACTTAGAATGTCATCTAGGAGGAACTTACCAGGAGGCTTTGACGTCATGTCGTAGGTCACACGCGTGATGCCGTCAACCTCGTTGAGAATTCTGGTAGAAATCTTCTTGATGAGTTTCCAGTCAAATTCGTACGGCTGTTTTCCTGTTAATGCTCATGCTGTTTCTCAAAGGCTGCTGTGAACTTACTGTAGCCGACATGAAATCACTGGTTACCACAGCGCGAAGAATGGCAATGAATCCATACTATAAACCGTGTTAGTTTTGGTTACAAAGTCATGATAGAAAGATAGAGACATACCACGCGGGCATCTCCCTGTACGCCGACAGCTCTATCTTGGCTGATAGCAACATAAGCTTGGCTGATGTCGTCGTAGATTCCAGCGGCCCTGATCTCCGAGATGAAGATATGGTCGGCCCGTCTTGATAGCTCGACTCTCTCGGGGGTTACTTCGCCCAGGATACGGATAGCGAGACCGGGTCTATTTGGTTGGCACGTTAGAGCGAGTTTATGAGAGGGGAGCTTGCGGTACGTACCCCGGGAATGGATGTCGCATCAGAACATCGTGGTGAATACCCAGCTCTCGTCCGAATGCTCGAACCTCGTCCTTGAACCTGTGCTTTTATTAGGTGTTGTCGGGTGCCACGGTAAAGGTACAGACACTTACATTTCGCGCAACGGCTCGATCAATTTCAGCTGCCACGTTGTCAGTTTAAGGAACAAGACCACCAGGAATATCAGAATATCTGACGAGTCAGATAAATACATACGTTGAGTGTATCAGGCAAGCCTCCGACGTTGTGGTGGGTTTTAATTGTCGCGGCAGGGCCTGTTGGTTTCGATGTTAGTTAAATTCAGGTGTGATAGGGGAAGAAACTTACCTTTGTAAGACACACTCTCAATTCTAGACAGATTGTTAGCTTGGGACCATAGAGGGCACCAGATCAGACATACACATCAGGGTAAAGCTACAATTTCATCGTCAGCATAGAAACAACCTGGCCAGGCGGGAGTGTACATACTGTTCCTTGCAGAAGATATTTGACCGGTCCCACGTCAGGCTTTGCCTCGGCTTCCTTTTCAATTCGGATCGCTTCCTCTTGGAAAAGGTCGATGACTGTTCTCACATGTTAGAAATTGAAGGATGAGTTGAGTGCCTAAATGAACCTACAGGTTTTCCCAATAATCTTGCGCTTCTTCTCAGGATCGGTCACGCCCTTGAGACGGGACAGGAACAATTCACCACCATTAACAACAGTCAGGTTGATTCCGAGGTGTTCCCCAAGTGTCTCTTTGACCTGTTCGCATTCGTTGAGCCTCATCACTCCATTATCGATGAGAATGGCGTGAAACCTATCGCCGATCGCCTCCTTCATGACGGCGGCAGCTAGATTTTTTTCAATTAGATAAAATTCAAGTTGGAGCCAACGGGGAAAAGTTGAGGAACGAGAGATGTGAGAGGGGAGAACTGGGGTAGATCACTCGCTTACCGACGCTGGAATCAACACCTCCGGAGACGCCTCCTAATACTTGGTCATTGGGGCCAACAAGAGCTCTGATGCGGGCAATTTCCTTAGCCCTGAAGTTCTCCATCTTCCATGCTGGGTTCGCGCCGCAAATGTTGATGGCGAAGTTGTGCAGGATCTCGGACCCACGGGGAGTCTATAGATGATTAGCTCATAAACAATGTTGTATCAAAGCGACAAATTAACTTACATGCTCCAGTTCAGGATGGAATTGGACACCTTTGACGTGTCTGGTTAGTTTTACGTCTCAAAAGCAACGGGAACCAAGGTGTGACCTACCAAAGATGGGCTTCTCTTTATGCGCAATGCCGGCAAATTCAGAGTTTGCGGACGTAGCAATAATGCAAAAGTCAGTAGGCAACTTCTTCAGTTTATCAAAGTGGCTCATGTAGACTAGAGCGTGTCAGCTTGCGGTTGTTTAATCAGAGAAATGCCTGGGACAACTTACCGTCCATTTCCGAGCCAATGCCCTCAAAGAGACGGTCGATCTTGGAGTCTCCCGAGTTGTGGACTTTGAGTTCTGTATGTCCATACTCTAAAATGATGTCAGGAGAATACCCTGCTTCTGAAACATCCGAGTTTACGAACCTCTGACCTCTCCACGGGCAACGTTGGTGGGATCGATTCTCCAAGCAAGTTCCTATACTTGGTCAACTTTGTCCGATGACGAGGACATTGAGCTGGAAATATTACCTGGCAGCCATAGCTAGATACAACAGGTTAGAAAGAGGGCGACATGTGGGTAGATGGAAGTAATCAACCATACCAGATACCCAGAATCGGCAGACCAAGGTTGAAAATTTCGGGATCGACGTCTTGAATGGTCAGTACGCGATGTATTATCGGAGAGCAGGGGAGTATTACGAGGTGCCACTGAGTCATAGACGGACGACGGGCCTATGTAACTTGTTAGTTCATCTAGATAGACAACACAATGGAGAATATGGTTCGTGCAAATACTGCCGAAACACGCCAATTGGTTAATTGCATACCTCCGGAAAGAATGATGCCCTTGGGCTTAAAGGGCAGATCATTGAGTTTTGTCGTACATGCGAGCATCTCGCAGTAGACCCCGAGGTTTCTCAGTCGCCTGAGAATGAGGTGCCTTTACCAGCCAAAGACGTCAGCTTACGCATTCATTTTTAGGGCAGCATGGCGACGAACGAGGTCTGTGACCCAAAGTCTAGGACGAGAATTGTCTGCATGTTGTCAGCCATCAATCCTCACGTGGTTGGTTTGATTGTGACAAATCTGCCTGCCAGAACCACTCAATCATCGACTCGCCACCTGTCTCGCATAATTGTCTAATTTGTATCTCTTCATGGTTTCTCGTAGTATTGTTTTATTCGAACGTTGCGTGTGTAGTTCGGGAGACAGAGTGGTGGTTGCTGATCGAGTGGGTGGCAGGTAGTCGCGACCATCGAGGAACTCTTCGGCTGGTGTGTTTCTGCCGGAAATACACGTACATCAAACTCATTGTGGGGCTGCCCCTGTTCGATAATGCCCGACATCTTGAAAGCTTGCTCGAATACGAATCGTAAGGCGGTTGGTGTTGATCGGTTTGCAAGAAAGTGTTGCGATGTCGCTGAAGAAGAAAAAAAATCCCAACTGCCCCTCCAAGTGCCCCTCCAATGAATTATCTTATCTTATCAGTAGTCTACCCACCAATAGCCGAATGCAGTGGGGGTCAGTCATGATGCTTCTGGATTTCCCCGCCGCGACATTTGCACGAAGGAGGCGTACGCAGATGAAATCACGATTGGACTATGCTATACTCTTTCTCGGATTTCTACTAATATGCGCATAGTACACGGAGCATGCCTAGACCAGATACCAGACCTTAGGTGAGGATTTCCCTCTTGGGAGCCTACAGCCAATTAGAGAGACATGGTGGAGCATTGCCCCAGTCATCTCTGGGACCCTCGTCTTGCGATGTGAGGATTTCTCTCTTGCGCGAGAGAGGAACATCCTGAATAAGTTCCCAGGGGGAACGTCCTAGTGGTATAACAAGGTCCCCTACTTTCTATTAATCTCTCCCCATCGCTAATTTGCGGCACTAGGTGGCTTCTCCACCGCACCATCTTCATGGTTCTCAATTCAGATCATCAGGTCATCAAATAAACTGGGCGAATGGTTTAGTGGTATAATACTCCCTTAGCACCTTTCAGCCTCTGAATACTTGGGAGTGGTCCAGGGTTCGATTCCCTGTTCGTCCAATTGTGGTGGTTTAATCCCATCGTGATCCTTCATTTTTGGTGTTTAGGAGAAGACACCACCATTGACGGCCGACATCTAATTTAGGTCGAGTGTCCATGGAAGAACTGATCATTCTTTTTACTCGGATCGAAAATCAGTCCCGAGATCCATCAAATAACCCACCAATGAAGCCCATGAGACCTTTGAAAGCCGCGATGGGGGGAGCGGGAATTCACCCATATGCATTACAATTATGGGAAGGTGTGTGCACTAACAAGGCTGATGGCCAAGTCTGGTGGGTCACGTGTATCCCGATAAGATAAGCGACGGGCCTCAAATTTTCACTCTTGAAGCGGAAACGAGTTGCGCAAGGAATCCATCAATCAAAGACCTTTACGGGAGTGGATATCGCTGGCTGCTGCTGCATATACCGTCCCAAAAGACCTCACCAAAACCAAATGTCATTATGACTGCAAATCCTACGGGGCGACAGCAAAATCGAAGGGTCCCGTGAAAACCGGCCCCACTTTCGCCGGCCTAAGCCCGATAGGCGGGGCTTCTCACAATGCTTCCAGCTACAACCATCCAGATCATCATCAAACGAGAACTTGCCAGGGATAAATCGTTCGTATCCATCATGGTTTCATCATTGCTATCATTCTGCCTGAAGTGGCTTACGACTAATATGAACTAACGCGAAGTGAACGTCCGGGTCCTCTTTTTTTTCTTATCCGCACCCTCTTTTTGCTCGTTTCGCAGCGCACTCGTGAGAGCATTCTTCTGTACGTGTGGCTTGGCGTATCCCACGGCGTTGTTCAGAACGCCATGGCCAAAAATAAAAGGGTATGAACACTTAAACTGAGATGAGATTTCCTCTGTTGCATGCAATCACTTGCTTCCTCCTAAACTCCTCATTATGAAATTTCTTAGTTCCAATTCCTACTCCAAACTCCCTTCAGAGTAGATAATAAAAGTGATATAAAAAAGAGTGTGAAAGGTGAATATTTGTTGTGAAATATCCAGCATACAGCCCGTAGGCTTAGAATGAAATTGTTGCTGTCCACGGCAAGCTTAAAAACTCTGAGCGAGTCGCTGAAGACACGTGAGCACACCTATTGTCTGTTAGTTACGCTCTGGCATGCATTTAAAGAATGATGGCGAATGACTTACCGCTGACCCCTTGAGTAAGGGTGGCCGTAGCCTCAGTGCTCCGGCTTCCAAGGCTTACAGTGACTACCTCCTTGACAGAATTTTCGTGCAGACGGTTGGCCCATTTGAAGACCTTTTCATCCTCGCGACCATCTCCGACCACCATGAGGAAATCTACCGGAGTAGACTCAGGCTGCTGGTGCAACTTCTCAAATACTTTGCAAGCAGCGGTCTTCTTGGACCAATCGATAGGCTCCACGATGATGTACCCCTCTTGAGGAATGGCGTGCACGCGTTGCGATTCACAGGCATCATTGACGTGGGTGGCGCATTCAGCTGCGAGTCGGGTGGCAGCCTCTGGGTCATCCGAGCCCTTATAATGGAAGACAAGGCTGCAGTGTCGCTCCTCCAACTCAGCACCGGGGGTTCTCTCCAAGAAGTAGCTCAGAATAGGCCTGACCGAATCTTTCCATGAGTTTATCTGGTTGGTGTCGGCCATTTCTATCCAGTCGTTGCTGCTCGATTCTTTGAGGAAGCAGCCATTCTCGGCGATGAGGCCAAGGTTTGGTACACGGCGGAAGACGCGCTCGAGCTCCTCAGGTCTGCGGCCAGACATGACATAGACAATGTTGCGCTCGTCGAGGAGCAGGTCGTTCAGAATGTCTAGGGTCCTCTGGGGGCTTGTTGCAATAATCTGGGAAATCGATCCCCAGCTCACAAGAGTGCCTTCGTAGTCGAGGATGAAAAGCCTTCGCTGAGACTGCTGATACTTATGGCAAACCGAGGGGATCGACAGGCGAGGAACGGATGTCTGGTCTCGCGAGTGCTGCTCATTGTGCGCCGTGTTGAGCCTGGTGATGAATTCGTCAACCCAGTGGGATCCAGTGTTGTTCGAGACAGCCTTGTACAGCTTCTCCCACCGGGTCTGCTTCTCCTCCGGCAACATCTCAAGCGCCTTTTGAATCGCCTCGGCACACTGGCGGTAGTCCCAAGGGTTCACAGACAACTCATTCTTGTTGAAAATGGATGCGGTTCCTGTGAATTCTGAGAGAATCAGAGAACCGTGCTTAGAGTCGGGCAGTATGGCTCCGTCTTGGCAGTAGAGGTATTCGTGAGAGGTCAGATTCATGCCTTCACGTTGGCTTGTGATCATGAGCGCGTCGGCAATCGTGAGCAGTGCCAAGTATTGGGCATAATCAATATCTTGCTTCAGGTACACCACAGGTTGATAGGCCAAGTTGGCCCATGACGAATTGACCCGGGTGACAATGTCAGAGACAGTAGCATCAAGATCGCTACGCTCGCTTGAGAGCGCAACTTGAATCAGCACCGTGTGTCCTCGCCACTGAGGATTCTTATTGAGGAAAAGCTCATAGGACAAAAGCTTCTGTCGAACACCACGGACGTGATCTAGCTTGTCGCGAGCTACGATAAGCTTCTTGCCTTTATATCGCTCTTGAAGAGTGGTGAGCCACTGAGCGACATCCTCGTCGTTTCGGTGCTTGCTGAGACTAACAGGGTCAATTCCGATGGCGAGGCTGGCAACGTCGACGAACCGATCCTCAAGCTGGATTCCCTCTGGCGTTGCTTCTACGTTGAGGATGCGGCTGCAGGTCTGAAGGAAGTGGCGTGTATATTCGGGGATCTGAAAGCCGATCAGGTTGGCACCCAGCATGCCTTCGAGAAGTTCCTTGCGAACGGCTAGACACCTGAAAACTTCGGACGAGGGGAATGCCACGTGCAAGAAGAAGCCAATCTTGGCTTCAGGAAGCTTCTGACGGATCATACCAGGCACGAGCAGCAGATGGTAATCATGAATCCAGATCGCATCACCTCGCTTCCAATCCTTGACAATCTTGTCAGCGAACGCTTGGTTGAGATTGACGTAGTATTTCCATGAATGGTCCTCGTAGGCCTTGCTCTTGGGATTATCGGGCATCTGATAGTGAAAGACCGGCCACAGGATCTGCTTGCAGAAGTGCGTGTAGTGGCCGTCAAAGTCCTTGTCGGTGCAGAAGACGGTCAACATGTCATGCATGGTGGCGAGTGTGTCCTCGATATCCTGCTTCTGAGGCGTACCATCGATGGCGTCCGTAGGCATCCCGAGTGTCCCAACCCATGTAAGATCGCCAAGCTTGCCCTCGCGAGCAGCAGCTTCAACAGCATTCCTCAGACCACCATTGCCCTGATCAGCATCAACGACCACCCATGGTGCTGAGGAGAATACTCGGTCGTGCGATTCGCTTCTAACGAGAGGCTTCGGCTGGTTCACTCCCTGGCGACTGAGCTCTTTGGCCTTCTGCATTGTGCGGCCATGCTCGGAAATAGCGGCAGGCGGAGGAGAGTTGGCACGAGAAAGAGGCTGGTTCGGTCGTCCACCCCATGTCGAGGAGCTCTTTCGGTTGATTGGCGAAACAAGTTCATTGGGGAACTGGACTCGGAACCCATCTTCGTTAGCGAATGGGTCGACTCGAAGGGTCTCGGTGGGTGTCTGAGGAGGAGTGATGTCGGGTCGAGGGGCGAAGAGGCTAGGAGTGGTGTCGGAGGCAAGTAATGGCTTGAGGGCCTGGATTGGAAACGTCTTGGACGCTTGCAAGCTGCCGTGTTTGGCGACTGGCTTTTTCGGCGGGGTGCCTGGAGGAAGATTGAAGTAGACAGTTTTCGGGAGGAATCTGGCAGAGGAGGTCAATTAGCATCAACGAAGTCCCGGCATTCCTGCACAACCCTACACCGCATGTTCTCTGGCATTCCGGCCTTGCAGAAGTGCTCTCCTCTGCTAAGCCAGGGTGGCCTGCGAGCACACAGGTGACGTGCATACATGAGTGGGCGGGCACAAATGAATTCTAGACTTACAGCGAAA